AATTAAGGTAAGTCTGTGTCCTTCCTAGTGCAATATGAACAACAAAAATTATACTTACAGGCTTCTTTATGCCCTTAGAGGACTGGCCCTTAAGCCACTGATTTCAAGCTAAGTGGAACTTCTCATTTTTTGGTGGCCACTTCTCTCCCTAGGCACTTAGTCCTCTTTCTGACATCAAATTATGCTGAAGAACAAGCAACTAAGCCATTGAACAACAGAGTTAGTGTATTTCTGGTTGTCTTAGAATGCAAGCTTGGTAAATTACTTACCTATGCTGTTTTATCTTCTACAGATATCACTGTTTGTTTTGTTTTGTTTCTATATTGGTAACACTACAACAGTACTCTGTCTGTACTGTGGGACCTGGTGGTAATTCCCACCTGCTGAATCCAGCTATGTGTTCTGGTCACATTATTTTGGAATTAAAGTTCAGTCCTTGTCATTTCTCCTGGTACACTGGGAAAGGAGAGCAAGGTGTATGGACCAGAAGAAGGTTGCAGCATACTCCCAAAGGACCCCTTTTACGGCTTGCCCGATGGAACCGCCTTGTGATGATCATGAAGTCTTTGTCCCAAAAATAAATAAAATTAATCACTTCTGAAGTTTGCCCAGTTACCCTTCTGGTTTCTGCTGAGACATTAATTGGCCCTTTGAGGAATTGTTCCTTACAGATGAGCAAATGAATTGATTTTGCAAGGTTTGCTAGTTTCTGGAACCTTTATTTCACCATGAGCTATATTGAACGGAGCCACACATATATATGCAGTGTTGCATTCTCTTCTCTGTAGTACCAATCTAAGTATTTTGCAGGGACAAACCCTGAGTTAGGTAGACTTCATTTTAGAAAAGGACTTTTCTAAATTTACAGAAACTTGTTACCTGTGTCATTTATGGAAATAAATTATGCAAACCCATGAAAAATGTAAAAACTTGGACTTGTTGGGTACTGCCACATTTTGCCTAGTAATGAAGGATGAGACTGACATGCACCTGAACAATTTTTTCATGTGTATTTGAATTCTACTTCCTTCTAGGCAACACTTAAATAATTGGATCCCATATGATCCATATGGGGTTTTTTGGCATGCCCAAGTTATGGCCTGCAATTTAAATTTTTGCCAGAATAATGTGTTAAAATGTGCAAAATCATCACATAAACAGGAGATAATTGTGATTTTGCTGTCAAATACTTTCATGAGTCTAATTTCATTTGGGGAATCAGTTTAAATATTTTAAATATACCTACAAAATAATTAATTTGCTGGCATAAGAGAAAATTAAGTGAGTCAAAATGTTATGTAAAGTGCTCCTGTACTTTTGATTCAGGTAATATTTAAAATGTAAGCATATGTGATACCAGTACTGCTACATTTAATTGTATACTGCAACCTATGTCAGTTTTCAGAAGCCTCTGGTAAGAGCATAAAAAAGGAACCTCCAAGTAAATTTTGGGATTGTCTTAGTATAAAATGTGCTAAGTGCATTTGTAAAGAGAAAGGATACTGTAGTTATAGCACCCACTATCATTACAGTGGTTCCAGAAAGCCTACATCATCAACACAGGATAAAATTAGGGAAGCTTCTTAGCTTCCAAACTGTGTTTAACATATATGTTCAAGGCTCATAAAGATGTGGGTGCTTCTCTTTCTTTAGGGACTTGAAGAGAAAAAAGTCAGATTATAAAATTTCTGGATTCATTAGGCATAAGTTCTTATGAAATCGAATGCAAGAAACACTGTTCTTATGCTGGAGGACTGTAGGTAGGACTCTTGATAAGAATGTATGTGTCGTGTCCTTGTGCTGTTCTGTGTATGGGTTTGTGTGTGTATGATGGACTGTTGAAACTATGCTGGTAATATCAATTTAAAGTGGAATTCCTGTATGGTTGCCAAGATCTTTTTTTATATACCATAATAACAAGAGGGTACATTTGTATGGGTATGAGTAGTTGAAGCTGCCATTGATCAAGCTGGTATCGATCAAGTCAACATTGTCAGCTTTGGAGTTTTGAGGTAAGAAATGGATGGCATTGGCGGAATACTTAACTAAGAAAGTTAATAGAAATATTAATAAAGTAACAAAAAGGTTGACGTTTAGCACAAAATATAGCAAAATGGTGGAAAGCACTGCAACAGAAATCTCTTTTTAGCAGTTGCTACTTTCCTCCCCCCCCCCCATCTTTATCAAGCTGTCTTTTCTTGCTCTCAGGAAACTGTAATAGATACAAGTAGGAATTGTGTTTTATTCCCTCTTTTTCCTTCTAAATTAAGTCCCACTTTTTGAACCTGCTTCTTCATGCTTTCTTAAGCAGTACTATCAGGGAACTTCCTTACACTCCTTTAAAATATTCCTGAAGACCAACCGGTTCTGTGAACTGTTTTAGCCATAAAGAACACACCCCATATGTGTTTATTCTGATTTATCTTGCTCTGTACTGCTCTACTTTTGTACTTTGTACTTTAAACTGGGGCAGGGAATATTTGTTGTATCAATATATAAATGACGAAGACTGGCATGTGGGGGGTCCCTTTTTTGAGTAGGAAATATGTGCATAATATGTATCAAAATATGTGGCCACAGAAGTTATTCCTGTTCTTAGGGATAATACAAAGGATATTTAAAATGTCCAATGTCAGGGAAATAGAGACATTTTAAAATCATATATTTCATATACATTTTGCTCCTTTCTCTACAAGAAGCAAAAAAATATTTTATGGAACCAACCAATGCAACATATTACATGCAGCAGCTGTTATTCTTCCATTGTTATAGATTAAAAGCAAAAAGTACAAATGTTATATCTTGCTTTATGGAAATTACAGTAAGTAGATAGATATACCCTATGAAAATAAGCTAGTTGACTCAAGGGTGGACAGGGCAAGAATATTCAAATCAAAAGATAAATGAGGATATTTGGATCTTAGAGTGTCCTTGATTTAACCCACATGGCTGTACTACTCTGCTTGATCATTTTAGATGTTCTTATTCCAGTCATCAGCACGTATTGATGAAATTTTTCAACTTTCAACTATGAATTAAGTCATTAGTACACTTATGGCGAACTTCCCTATACAATAATGTATAAACTATATAATCCTGCCTTTTTAAAAAATTTTTAGGGGCAGTAGCTTGGTAGTTAGGCATATAGATTTGTAAGACTTGGATTCCAATTTTTCTGCTACTTCAGATGGTTCAAACCCACCTATGGTCTGCTTCAGCCCAATCACTGGTAATAAGACAAAAAGAATGGCAGAAGGAGGTTCTCAATGCCTTCTGTTTAAAGCTCTTGGCATTGAAAAATTGTTTGGACATCACTCTAAGTTTGGATATTTACCTGGACATTAAATATCTTCAAAATTTGCTGATCAGAAATGCCTTCATTTTTTGAGCTAATTTTAAAGGTGAATCACAGACAAATGTGTTTCTCACATGGACTTCAATTTTTCTGGTGATGACTAACTATCTACGCTTGCAAATTTGACGGGTGGATGGCTGCCTACAGTAACTTATATCCTGTGTTAAATCAGGCACAAAAATAAAGAGAAGTTGTCTACAACACAGGTAAAGTCTTCTTTCAAATTCAAGAGATCTGTACTAACAGATATTGATATTGCATAGCACTGAGGATGTCACACTCCTGTTACTTCACGATATGAAATTTCCTGATGTTTAATTTGTCAGAATATTTTAGAAATGAAAGAGGGAGGAAGAAATATGTGTAGTTAAATCTTAAAGAAAATGTAAAGAAAAGGCAAATGAAATTGAACAAATGTATTTCTCTTATTGTGGAAATTTTAATCTGTGATCTCAGTTCAGTCCCTTCCAAGAATAAGCAAATTTGACCTTGGAAAGATATAGAAGACCAAGAAAAAGTGTTATTAAATCTAACTTTTTTTTTTTTCAAATACATATTTTCCCATTAATTTTTCTATAACTTGTCTCATATACAGCTTGTATTCTTGTCCTGGGGTTTTTTTGTTTGTTTGTTTTCATGGAGGCATTAGGATTCAAAGACTCGGGTGCCTTTGTCCTTAAAACTTTTGACAAAACCAATCTTTTAATTTTCTTGTTGCGTTGACAAATTTCAAACAACTGATTGGAGAAAACTCCACATTGCATTCTTCCAAACTTCCTTTTGCTACTTTCTTTGTGGATCCAGATTATAACACTTTATAAGTGTGATCATAGGGGGGACTTGCTGAATCACCATCGAATTAGAACTTCACAGGTGGTTGAATACAAGCTGGTCAGAATTTTATTAACCTAGAAAGTTGGTGTTTCCTTTGGAGCTTAGATCTCCTAGCAGTGTAGTCTAAATTAAAAAATTTTCAACTGAGAAACAGATACTGTGGTCTTACCTGATGAAATACAAGATAATATCAAAGAACAGGTAATAGTCTGAAACTAAATTTTACCGGCTCATCGAATGTACTGGCTTTTAGCAAGTAAGTGCTCTTAAGTGGTGTGCTTCTATCAGTGATGATGATGAAATGGCTTATATTGAAAGCTCAGATTATATGCTTGCTTCATTGGTGAAGAAAATGTGGAGCTCTTAGTCGAACAAGTTTTCTTGTAATACTGAGAAATGGCAACTTATCCTCCAATGCAGGCCAGCTGAGTCTCACAAGTAAGTAAAAGATTCTAAAACATTCATATAAGCAGACTGGCCTCCTGTAGATGCAGCTCTACTGCTTTGGGCACCGAATTATTACACCTACCTGAGATTTCACTGGGTTTTATAGAAAGAGAATTTTGTCTGGTGTTAGCCTGAGTGCCTCTACACAGTGCTGTATGTCTTGGATAGACAACTTAAAGGACCCACCACGCACACATTTATTGGTTAGTACGTATGCAGTTACGTGGCTATTGTTTCAATAGCTGTGTTCACCAATCCAGTAATTCATGTTCTGTCATATGGCACAATCTGTAGAAGCCAAGGGCTGTTAAGATTATTCCACTATTAAATAAAGTATGAACATGTGAAAGGAGATAATGCTTACCAAGTTAATTTGTATAGTGCTTTCCCAGTCCTTCTCATTGTTCACTCCAGCATTATTAACCACAATATCCAGCCTTCCAAAATGTTCAATTACTTTTTCGAATGCACCTATAGCAAGATCCAAGGGTGAAATTTCTTAGCACTTATGGGAAATAAGATATAAAAATACAATGCATGCATACAAATTAGTGTTTTATTAGCCTACCAAACTGTCTTCACTGTTTTCTTAACCACTAATGAGCAACATGCAATTAAATTTTTATCTAACCATTCACCAGTATTAAACATTCAGGAAAACTGAAAGGATTAAGATACCATAGTCACCTTTTCATTGAGTTTTATAATGCCTGATTACTGGAGCTAACAAAAGCTCTTAGCAGCCATACATTTTGTATTAGATAGGATGTTTGGCACCGTAGTTATATAAATTCAGCATTTATAGCTTGATTTGTAACAGTTTGATATAGCTAGTGAATTCAAGATTTGGTATAATCTATTTTAAATGAAAAATAAAGATTTCATGTGTTCAGAGCAGTTTTCTTGGTTGAGTCTGAATTTAATCTAAGAACGCAATTCTTATTCAGTGATATAACTAATATGAATCTTTCAACTATAAACAATTTATCATAATTCTTGTTTAAATTTATCCATTTGTGGATAAATTGTTATACATCCTACTTGTCAGGTAACTTTAATAATATGTTTTTCAAATGAAAATGTTCTTCCTTCTGTTGATGAAAATAGTGACCTGTCTTCCAAAGAATTTCAAAATAAAGAACTGGGAAACTTCTACAATGACATTGTGTTCTCCCAGGTGACAGTGTTTGAACTAAGATAAAAGATGTGTATGGAAAAACATGATGATGTCATAGTGATGAGCAAACTCATCTAAACTGGCTCTGCTTTGACAGGATAGTTGGACGAGATGACCTCCAGATGTTCATTCCAGACTATGATTTTCCATGACTACAGGCATTATCTGACATATAGCTTGTTTGTTTTTCCCTCCAAATATTGTTCCTCATCACTAAATATTTATTATTATGTAAACCAAGACACCCCTCCCCCAATATTGTTTTAAAAAACATCATTCGGTGGCTGACTAAAAATCCAGAGTATTTCAGGTATACTTAAATTATGCTTGACAGGCCTTAATGAAACCACTTCACTGAAAGGCAATCCCATGACCATCTGAATTCTCTGATCTTTAGTCTTTGGCTATTAGTGTCAATCAGGAGCATAGTACCAGCTTTGAGATATCTACCTTTTTGTCAGCAGTTGCAGGGGTTTACAAAGTTGTTTTTCTTGCACCAGGGGGTTGTACTGTTACAGCATTTTCTTTGCCTGAATGCTGCAGGCCCATCACAGTCATCATCTTGTCATCAGAAGAGCTGGGCAGCTGATGGGAAAGGTTTTATTTGTCCAACTGCCTTTATTGTACAGATTTTTCTAATATTCTTGTTCTGTACTAGAATATTTTAATATTACTAAGGCCTCTATTTTTGGCTGTCTGCCTTTTTGGCTTTTGTTGTTTGTTGCTAATTCATACTCTGGTTTCTCAGCTTAACTCTTCAGTCCATTCTCATCTTTCCAACCCTGCATCAGCAAGGGCAAGTGAAAACCTTTGGCTTTATTAGGAGCAGAACTGATTATTTAACTTAGTTTCAATGAGTAAAATAAATACAATTTAGGTCCTTAATTAGCTTCTACATTTTGGAAACTGGCTCTCTGATTCCCTTTTAAGTCTTCTCTAAATAGCATCTTTCATCAACCTCATTCTTAATAGAACCTTTTGCCTTGAAAAAACACCATGAACAACAGTACTTTTGCCAATTATTTGTTTGTTAAATTCACACAGTCTTGACTGATTGTAGTTTTCTAGTTTACACATTAAGAAAATAGCCAAATGCTTTTCAGTTGTTTGCACATCTGTGTTAAAATAAAGAATGATTACCAAATTTGGAATATTTCTGGTAAAAGCTTACCTGCCTACGGTAATCCTATCTATTACTTGTCCACAAAAAGAAGAGTCTCATTATAAATTCTTAATAAAGTTATCACCCACGCATCCGTGTAAACTGACTTGTTCTTCCCTTTTTGAATGTAGAATAATTCTGTGTTTACATTGCACACTAGTTAGTGCTTATGGAATCATAAAAATTAAAAGCAGATGATCATATGAAATATTGAATGAAGAAAAAAGAAAAATGAAGATGAAGATCCATTTTAAAGGAGAGGTAAGAAAACAGTGGAAAGTAAGTACAAACACCAGTTATATGTGAGCTTCCTAAATATTCATAGAAAGCAAAAGTATATGTATGGTGATTTTTCATACCTATACGAAATTGCAAATGTCCAGTGATTTCTCCCACACCAAAGGTGCCAGCACTGAAAGCTGTTGCTGGTCCTCACCTTCCCTTGGCAGAGCTTTCACAGCCCCACAAACACTGGGGCTCAGTGTTTGCCTTGCCTCCTAAGGGGGTCCCAACACTCTCTCTCACACTCAGTCTCATTTTCACCAGAGCCTAGCTCTGAAACTGCAAACATCCAGCGATTTCTCCCATACCAAAGTGTGGGAGAGATCAAGAGGGACAAGACTGAAGATTTTTGTGGGGGACTATGTGAAAGAGCCACCAGAGAAAAAAGCACAGGCAAGACTTGAAAGTCGATGAAGCAGCTGATTTCCTACCCATAAGCCTTATGTACCTACAGATACTAGTTCTGGTACTGTGACTTGTTTCATACTGAAAGGGCAAAAGTTAAAATAAGAGGAACTTCATTCACGCACATGACCTTTAACATAAAAAGCAAGTACAGGACTTGATGCATCCACTAAGAACTTTAAACACTAGGAGTGAAATTAATCTAAGTTTATTAAGCGGTGGCTTGCAATTACAAGTGAAAAAAATAGGAAAATAAAGCAGTAACCCCCCCCAACAAAACCACTAAAAAATACCCCAGAAACCCCAAAGGACTGTAAGACATGATGGCAAATTTATGCTAAGAAACCTGCAGCAGGAATAATGCAGTATCAGAAAAGCATAAGCAGCGGACACCCATTCTTGTTCTCATTCCTTGCAAGAGCCCATTCTGACCCTACTCTGATTGCTCTTTTCCTACTAACTTGGTTGCAAAACCTCCCCATCCTGCTCACTCCAGTTCCCAGTGCACACCCTGTTGGTCCTCCACTACTGGCACTAAGGACGGGAGGAAACACAAGAGAGAAAGCACACTGAGGTAACACCCATGCTGCAGCACATGCTATTCCTACCCCTAGGATGCTTTTTATTGCTCCTAGGTTACTCCTCCCATTTGGAGACAAAGTCAATAATCAGCCTAGCTGATAAAAACGTATTGGGAGATCTGCTGTAATCAGCAAACGAAGTCCAGCATCTGTCTTACAGACAGACAATGTAAAGCTCTGGAATTAGGCATAATCACACTAGCTTGGAGCAGTAAACAATACTGCTGAATTCTGGACTAGCTGCAGTGTTCTGTGAGAGACGAATGGATATGCTCAATCACCGCTGTTGAGAAAGTGAAGCGTAGTGAATAAAAGCAGAACTGAAAATGTTCACATCGAGCCTGACACAAATGAATCTGGGGAAAAGGCACTGACAAAAGTGATGTCAAAATCTGAATCTGAGTCACTACCTATGAATACCTCTTTAATACCTCTTTAATAATGAAACTTTGATGAAGTGACATGCCTGTTATGAAATATTGTGAAGGGTACATCAACATCATATGATACTCTAAGAACTCAGTAGGGAACATGATTTATTCACTAAGTGAAAACAGAAATGCAAATCATACATGAGGGAAGCTCCTTGCCATTCCCTGCATTTGCAAAATGTGTGCGAAATGTTATCAACCCATGTTTAACACTGTGTGTCATGGGTTAACCCCAGTCGGCAACTAAGCGCCACACAGCTGCTCGCTCACCCTCCCTACCCCCCGCCCCCGATGGGATGGGGGAGAGAATTGGGAAAAAAAAAGTATAACCCATGGGTTGAGACAAAGGCAGTTTAATGGGACAGCAGAAGAGGAGAAAATAGTAATAATAATGATAATGATGATAAAAGAATATACAAAGCAAGTGATGCACAATGCAATTGCTCACCACCCGCCGACCGATACCCAGACAGCTCCTGAGCAGCGATGGCTGCTCCCTGGCCACCCCCCCCAGTTTCTATACTGAGCATGACATCATATGGTATGGAATAGCCCTTTGGTCAGTTTGGATCAACTATTCTGGCTGTGCCCCCTCCCAGTTTCTTGTGCACCTGGCAGAGCATGGGAAGCTGAAAAGTCCTTGACTAGCATGAGCAGTACTTAGCAACGACTAAACCATCAGTATGTTATCGGCATTATTCTCATACTAAATCCAAAACACAGCACTATGCCAGCTACTAGGAAGAAAATGAAGTATCCCAGCTGAAACCAGGACTCTGTGATAAAGCCGTGTGCCATCTTTTGCCAATTCTGCTTTCAGCTACAGCAGCACACGTTGAAAGTCAGTGTGCTGTATCGAAAGAGCACTGCAACCCAGAGCAGAATTTATTACTCCTATGACGAGGGAATGCAGCTTGGAGTCTGTACTGAAACCTCATAAAAAGCAAGTCTGTGCTTTAAAGTTTATATATATTACTCATAACAATCATCTTCTGCAGAGGCTTTCATGCAAAAACATCACACACGGCACTCAATGGAAATGATTTCTTTGGCTTTGCTTTGCGATGTGCTAAGTAAGCGAACTACACGCGCGCTGGTAGCAAAATTTCCCATCTGCAGGTTCAGAAACAAATCCTTTTTGAGTCACTGTCAGAGGCGATTGGGAGTAGGCTGTCCTCCAGAAACCTTAGTTGCACACTTACCGGTGCAGCAGCCCAGGCTCTTTCAGGTTGCTGCATGTTACGCCGGAGCGCGGCGCGGACAGTTTCCTCCTTACCTTTCAGCTGCTCGGGATCCGTAACGTCGCACGGGATGAACACCGTCCTCTGCGCTTCGAACTGCTCGTCCAGGGCCTCCTTGCTCTCCTGCCCGGCCTCGGAGTTGCGGTCCAGCAGGGCTACCTGGCCGGGGAGGGCGGGAAAGGCTGAGCGGCGGCCGGACGGGCGGACAGGCGGA